TTGTATGTTGATTTTGTATCTTGCAACTTTACTGAATTTATTATTTTTAACTTTTTTGATGTACTCTTTAGAGTTTTCTATGTATAAGATCATGTCATCTACAAACATAAAGAATTTTGTTTCTTCATATCTGATATCGATGCTTTTTATTTCTTTTATCAATTTATTAATTGCTTTGGCTAGAATTTCCAGTACTATATGGAACAGAAATGGTGAATGCAGGCATCTTTTTCTTGTTCCTTAGTGTGTTGAGGTACATTCTTTCTTTACCTAATTTTTGGACAATTTTTATCATGAAAGGATGTTAAATTTTGTCACATGTTTTTTCTACATCTATTGAGATAATCATGTGATTTTTATCCTTCATTATGCCAATATAGTGTGTTACATTTATTGAATAGTGTATATGAGCCATCCATGCACCCTAGGAATAAATCCTGCTTGATTATGGTAGATGATCCTTTTAATGTGCTGTTGAGTTTGGTTGGCTGCTGTTTTGTTGAGGTTTTTGTATTTATATTCATCAGGGATATTGACCTATAATTTTCTTTCTTTGTAGTGTCCTTATTCAGCTTTGGTTTCAAGGTAATGCTGGTCTCATTAAATGAGTTAAGTATTCCTTCCACTTTAGTTTTTTGAAACAGTTTCAATAGTACTGGCATTAAATGTTTGATAGAATTCACCATTGAAGCCCTCATGTCCTTAGCTTTTCTTTGTTTGAAAATTGGATTACTGATTCAATTTCTACACATATTATTCGTTTGTTCATATTTTCTGCTTCTTCATTACTTAATATTCCTAGGTTGTATGTTTCTAGGAATTTATACATTTCTTCTAGGTTATCCAATATGTTGACATATAATTGTTCATAGTCATATCTTAAAATCGTTTGTGTTTCTGTGGTAGCAGTTGTAATGTCTCCTCTTAAATTTATTATTTATGTGAGTTTTCTCTTTTTTTCTTAGTCTCACTAAAGGTTTGTCAATTTTATCTTTAAAAAAAACCCAAACTCACAGTTATATTGATTTTTCCCATTATTTTTCTAGGCTCCATTTCATCTATTTGTGCTCTGAACTTTATTATTTCTTCCTCTGACAACTTTGGGCTTAGTTTGCTCTCCTCTTTCTAATTCCTTGAGGTGTAATATTAGGTTGTTTATTGAGGCTACTTTTTTCTTAATATAGATGTTTATCATTATAAGCTTCTCTCTTAAAACTGCTTTTGCCACATCTTTTAAATTTTGTTAGGCTATATATTTTTGTTAGTCACAAGATATGTTTTGATCTCCCTTTTGATATTTTCTTTGATACATTAATGTTTCAGGAATATGTTGTTCAATTTCTATGTATTTGTGAATTATCCACTTTGCCTCCTGTTATTGATTTCTAGTTTCATAGCATTGTGGTCAGAAAAGGAAATTGGTATGATTTCAATCTTCTTTAATTATTTTAGATTTATTTTATGGCTTAATATATGATCTATCCTGGAGAATGTTCCAAATGAGCTTGAAAAGAATGTGCATTTGCTGCTGTTGATGGAATGGTCTCTAAATGTCTGTTAGGTCCATTTGGTCTGAAGTGTAGTTTAAGTGTAGTTAAACTACCTTAATTAATTTTCTGTATGGATGATTTATCTATAGTTAAAAGTTGGGTGTTGATTACCCCTATTATTACTGTGTTACTATCTATTTCTCCTTTAAGTTCTGTTAATATTTGCTTTAAACATATAAGTGCTCTGATAATGGGGAGGCCTGACAAGTTCATGAACTCATCCTAGAAGTACTACATACCTCATTGCTGAATATCACTGCATTCACCTTTGAAGTACACCCCTTGGGAAGCTATATACCAATGCCAGCACTTAATACACCCTTCAAAGCAATTTTGGACCTCTTTTTCTAGAATGACCATCAGATCTGTCCTATGAGGTCTGACAATTAAGTTTGTGAACTTACCACCATGTGGTTATGCTAGCAGCACTGTACAAACAACTTGGTAAGGTTTCATAACCTTGTTATATCAGTGTCTCATAGTTGTGCTCATGTTGATGTGTGGTGGTGTCTTTCTGAGTGGCATTCATTATTGTTGCATGGTCTGTGTGCTATACAATGGCTCTGATTGTTATTGCACTACCTCTTCACAAACACCAAGAATACACTTAAAAATATTAAGGTAATTGAGAGGGCCAAAAGTGTATTCTAAATTTGGGCCCCACAGATAGGACTCTTATTTTCTAGGGTCTTTAGAATGCTCACCAAATTTTATCAAATTTCAGTCTTTCAGTCATGAATTTTAAAAGCAGAAATAGAATGACTTAGTTTCTAATGACAATGCAAAACCAAAAGTTAAGAGGAAAATGGCAATATTATACAGTTCTTGGGTCAAAGAGAAATTACAATAACAATTTTGAAGTCATCAATAAGAATGTTATATATATAAATTATAGAATGTGACCAAAGCTATACTTAGAAAAAATATCCATGGCTTTAAATGCTTTTATTATTAAAATACAAAAAATGAAAATATAATATAATATGCTGGATATTGAGAGTTTATATTGTATAGGGCCTGAACAAAATACATTTCTTTTAATCTCCATAGTACTTATGGGGTGGGTACTGTTTTTCACCCTTCATTAGGAGATGGGTTCTATATTTTGCTCTTATCATTTTGAAATGCTCAGAAGTATAATTAAGCATATCTATGCAATGTTCTAACTATGTTATCTGTTTCCAAGAACTATTTCATGTTTCTTGATTCAGTGCCACAAATATTTATTAACGCTTATATAGAGAGCACTGTAACAAAGAGATGAATACGAGATGTTCTCTACCCTGTAAAAATCCAGTCATGTGTATTTGGTATAGATGAAGGGAAGGATGCAACTCATATTAAGATTGCAACTAACCCTACTTGCTAAAATTGACTGTAGTAAATACTAAAAATAATGCATAATGCATAATCACAGCACCATGGCTACAAAGAGCAAAGTGATGCCAATTTGGGATAAGAACAGAAGTCAACTGCCATATGCTTGTTGCCACTGTTTGGGGAAGCAGGTCTAAGTTGTTCAAATAATTAATTAAATCGAATGAAGCAGGAAGAGCATATACATTTGCACTTTATTAAAATATTGCATAAATACAGAGCAGTTGGGCACATCCATTCTAAGGCACTGTTCTGGTTTGAATGCAGTTCCACAAGAGAGAAAAGAGAAGCCATTACATTCGGTATTTTTCATCTCTACATTCAGACTCCTCCCATGTTATATGTTTATTGCTACTGGGATCTCTACTTTTACCCCAGACTTATAGCAGCATCATATAGGGACCTGGATGACAGGAATTAAAGTCACATCCTGGGTCTAGCACTTAATTTGATTTGGCACTTAATTACAAACTCTCTTGCATTGTTCTCCATTTGTTTCCCAACTCTTGTTTAACTACAGATATTATAAACTCTTTATGAGCCTGACCCATGAATTATATTTCTTTACTAGATTTCGTTAAGCCTAGAACAGGACTAGACAGAAAAACAGACAGACACATAGTAGATAGCCCCAAAATACTTATATGGATACATACATATTACTTTCAAGAACTTCAATAGACTAGACAAGATGTACTTTTCCTAATTGTAGTTTAAGTCCTTCATAAAGGAAAAATGCTTGAAGGTCCTAGTTCTTGTATGTTTTTTACAAGAACTAGGCTCAATGAGCATTTTCACATTAAGAACTTTGACAGTGAGAATTCTTTCTTCACTACAGAAGTTTTAAGTTGTTACTATGATTATATGAGAACATTTATTTAAGTCACAACGTGTGTGTGTGTGTGTATGTGTGAGAGAGAGAGCGAGAGAGATTACAAATTTAAAGAGGTTGAGAATCACTAGTTAACTTATAAATTATCTGAATTAGTGACCTTTACCTCCTTAAAGTGATATGTGTATATGTGCATGTGTATGTGTGTATTATATCAAAGATATAAGTTTAAAGAACTTTTCATAACATCCTTAAAACAATTGGAGATAACTAGGCTTGGGAGCAACAAGACTATAGTCATAGCTATAGAAATATTTGTTTAAGGCAGTGTGTTCCAAGGGATATCTACAGTGTACTAGTTCTGTGGGTTATTACTGGCTGTACATGAAAAAGGTTCTGGGATCAAATAAGTTTGGAAAACACTGAGTCAAAAGAAGTGCTTTTTCTTTTCTCCTTACTAGAGGTCATTTCAGACATTCTCATACTGATGTGCACTGTGAATCTAGGAAGGCGAAACAGGAAGCAATTCCCAAGCTTACTTGTAGAATGTCTTGTAGCACTAAGCGTTTAATGACACATACTCAGGGGGACCCTGAATTAAAGAATGGATAAAATTTCAAAAGCACTGAAAGATACACGATTGAATACAAAGGAGAGTGAAAAGCAATGAGCATTGGTTTTTCAGTCAATCTACATAAAATTCGATTCTACTTGTACAAATTTAAGTGTCAAGTACAGTCTTCCAGACATACTTATGCAGTGAACAAAATAAATTACCATATTAACAGCCTGCTTTAAGCAGCATCACCACAGATTGCCGACTAAGCAGAAGTAAAGGCTAAAACATTAATTTCTTTAATCATAAAAATTTTCACTAGAATTAACAGTTCTTACCAGGCAAATGACATCTCCTTCATCCTTGTGTTCCTGACACATTTTTATTATTTGACAAAATTCACTATCTCCTTTCTTGTCACATGAGGCAGATCTAAAGTTTTAAATGAATATAACCATCTTTAACAATGATAGCAGAAAAATTATGGTCCTGCTATAATAGATATGTCACATAATCAGGATTAACCATTATGTTGATCCTACTTCTGAAAGGACTGTCATTATTTATATGCTTTATGCTTATGCCTATGATACAGTTGCCTTGGAACATGAAAGTTTTCATTGTAATAATAAAATAAGAGTTGTGCAGACAGAATAAATCAAATCTAGGAAAGCTGGAAGAATAGGTAGATAATATAGAACTTATATGACCTGGAAGACAGGTTTTTAAAAGTAGCAAAAAATAAAAATTAAAAAAAAAAAACCTTTCTCATAAGTTCAAACAAAAGTGTTTGAACACGGTGCCATAGCTTAAGATTCTTTTGAGTTTGTATCAATTTCTGTAGGACCTATTTCCCTTAACCATTCTTAAAGCAATCCTCTAAAGTGAGTGACTTGGTGCATAATAAGGCCTGCTCTCTGTCTGAAGCTTTTAGAACAATGAGTGCACTTGTAAGGCTTCTCCCCTGTATGAATTCTTAAATGAATAACGAGGCTTGGTCTCTGTCTAAAGCTTTTCCCACAATAATTACATTTAAAAGGTCTCTCTTCAGTATGTGTTCTCTGGTGCAAAGTGAGAGCTGTCAGTCGACTAAAACTTTTCCCACAATTATGACATCTATGAGGTTTTTCACCTGTATGAGTTTTCAGATGTCTTTTAAGACTTGATCCATGACAAAAAGTTTTCCCACACTCAAGGCATTTATATGTTTCTTCTTCAGAATGGGTTCTCTGGTGCCCCATAAGGTGTGACCGCCGAGTAAATCGTTTTTTGCATACAGTGCATTCATAGGGTCTCTCCCCTGTATGAAGTCGTTGGTGTCTATAAAGGTCTGAACTGCGAAGGAATCTTTTCCCACATTCAGGGCATTTGTGAGGTTCCTCTCCTGAATGAATCCGCTGGTGCCCTGTAAGTTGTGACTTCCGAGCAAAACATTTCCCACACTGAGGACATCGGTGAGGTTTCTCTACTGGACTCTTTTTTTTACGGAGTCTAGAGTTAAGAGGTTCTTCCAAGTTGGAGGACTCAGGTGTCTCTCCTAGAGTGGGGTTCTGTTGCTCTACAAGTTTTGTTAAATCTGTCTCTAAATCTTCTGGAGAGGGTTCCCATTGATTTTCTAACTGTACATAGTCTTTTTGCAAAATGGGACCATCGAGAGCGTTCCCCTCAGTCACAATAAATGGATACATATTCTCCAGTTTCTTCTGTTTTGAAGGATCATCGTCATTTTCTATCTCAATTTCAAAACCTGAGAGAAGAAATACAAATTGCTGTTGTTATTGTGTTCCCCGAGAAAAGAAAGTGAGGAAAAGTAAAATTATATTAAACCACTAGAACAAATATAGGAATTCCTAAATAGAATTCCAAACTCTTTACTCCGATTAAAGTTGAATTTTTCTTTTCTTTTTTCCCTAGTACATCAATGAACAATTACTTACCTATTTTGGAATCAAGTAATTGTTTCATTTCTTTGGAATCCTGTAATTCCTTCACCCATGGCTCTTCTCTGTGCTCCAATGTGAAGTTCACATCAAGCTTTGGTAATGGATATCCTGGCCATAAGAAAAATGGGAAGCATGATAGTTTGACTCATCAAAAGTTCTCCCAAAATTTAGGCTCATTTCTCTGACACATGGCCTCTTAATATGTACTTTCTTCTCAATTACTATCATATCACCCGGAATCTTTTACAAGAGTATTTTTAAAGATCACAAATTGCTCAATTCAAGGCTATTCTTTCTCCTGTCACCTACAGAAAGTGAGTGAATCAACTGTGTGATGAAATCAATGCACTAAATCACTTCTGCATCAATTTTAAAATAGATTTACTTATGTTAGAGCTAAAATATGAAGTAAATAAATTTGGCATATTATGAAATAAAATTTGGTATATTACGAAAACTTCATAAAGTCATGAACACTGCTGCTGAGTGCCAAATGAAGAGAGAAAGAGGTAATTAGGAGTTATGAAACTTTACAGGAATAATTTCAGTTAAGATTTTCAAATCCAAAGGGAAATTGAACTGGGCTGGCAACCAGCAAAAATAGTCTTTGTATTTGTTTCAGTTGAACTAAAGTAGAAGTCTAGAAGTAAATTCTCTTTAAATTAGCCCACATGACTATCAAACAATATTTTCTTTTTTTCTGAGACAGAGTTTCACTATGTTGCCCTTGGTAGAGTGCTGTAGCATCATAGCTCACAGCAACCTCAAACTCTTAGGCTTAAGCGATTCTCTTGCTTCATCCTCCCAAGTAGCTGGGACTGCAGGAGCCCATCACAACGCCTGGCTATTTTTTGTTGTTGTTGTTGTTACTGTTGTTATTGTTGTTTAGCAGGCCCAGGCCAGCTTCGAACCCACCAGCCCTGGTGTATGTGGCCGGCACCCTAGCCGTTGAGCTACAGGTGCCAAGCCAAAAAATATTTTTAACTGTCAATCCAGGGACAACCAGATGATGTTTCTAACCACACATTCTCTGCCTGTCTGACAATTACTGTCTTCACTGACAGCTGCGGTGGTTTGTGTCTTCTTTTCCATGCTGCTTCTTCTCCTTCCTCATCTCTGGCCAAGTTTACTGGTCTTCAATGAAATGTGGGTTATAAATTATTGATTTGAGATCTAAACATAGGCTGATGTTTAAATATAAACATTATCAAAATGACATTAGGAATTTAGTTTGACTAGTACTAGTCTGAAGGAAAATTTAAATTTCAGAACATTATACAAGTCATAGAAAGTAAACTAAAATATCTTTTTTTTTTTTGAGACAGAGCCTCAAGCTGTCCCCCTGGGCAGAGTGCTGTGGCATTACAGCTCACAGCAACCTCCAACTCCTGGGCTCAAGCGAGTCTCCTGCTTCTGCCTCCCAAGTAGCTGGGACCACAGGCACCCGCCACAACGCCCAGCTATTTTTTGGTTGCAGCTGTCATTGTTGTTTGGCGGGTCCGGGCTGGGGATTCGAACCTGCCACCTTAGGTGTACATGGCTGGTGCCTTAGCTGGTTGAGCTATAGGCGCCAAGCCTAAAATATCTTTTCATGAAAAAATTATACTTCCTTTTAAAGAAACAAAATATGAATTTCTAATAAAATGCTGTTTAAATTCACTATTTTGTTTTTGTTTGGATTTCAAAGCTAAGAGTGAAATGAAGGCGTAATATAGAACTGCCAGGTCAAATAAAATTGGAGGTTATAAATCAAAGGAAAGCTCCTGTGAAATAAAAGAGGGAGCAAACTGAAACTTGTAAGAACAGAGAATAGCAAAGGCTTAGGTGTAAAGTACTGATTTAAAATCTCAATGTCAAGAGGGAGAAATACTTCCAGAATGATACTATGAGGATCTCTATAGACCCATTTCTCAGTGAAACTGGAGAAAATATTTAAAAATGAAAATGAAAAACCAAGCAAAGTCTCTCACAATAGACCTAAGGGCATACAGCAAACAAAGAAACATCCTTTCAAGAAAATCTACTAAAATTCAGTATGAACAATGAGAGTCTCAAGTAGTTAAATCCAAACTGTTCCCTTATCCCCTCTCATAGCTCTTCTACAGACTAGCATAGCCAAGAGCCCAGGATATCGTCTACCTTCAGTTCCCATTCAGACATCTTTTAGGAATTTCATTACATGCATGTTGATGCACATTTGTCTGAGGCTTCATTCACTTTTCTTCATTCTTTTTTCTCTCTGTTCTGATAGCATAATCTCTATTGATCTGGTTTCAAGTTCACTAATACTTTCTTCTGACAGTCATATCTACTGTTGATCCAGTCAACAATGATTCATTTTTCATTTCTGTTATTATCTTTTAAACTCTAGAATTTCCATTTGACTTTTTTATAATTTCCATCTCTTTATTGATATTCTCTACTTAATGTGATACTGTTATCATAACTTCCTTGACTTCTTTAATCACGGCTTTCTCTAGTTCTTGGAACATATTCATAAAGGCTACTTTAAAGTCTTTGTTAAATCTGTTATCTATTTACTCTAATAAGCAGATTCTGTTGCTTGCTATTTTCTCCCCAATTTATGGATCATACTTTTCTATTCACATGTACATCTCATAAATTTTTCTTAGAAACTGGATATTTTAGATAATACAGCAACTATGTGTCATCCTCCCAAGGGGTTTTTTCTTTTCAGGCAGAGTCTGACTCTAGCATAAGGTGACCAGACATCCCGCTTTTGGTGGGACAGTCCCAATTTTTAACAATTTTTCCCACGTCCTGTGGTGTTTTAATAAAGTCTCGATTTTTGTAAAGAATGCACAACAAGCTAGGGAATGGCAGAACAACGGGAAGGGAATATACAGGGAACATACGTTTTTCGGCTGCTGAAAAGGTTAATGTAACTCCATTTGGGAATGAAGAGGTTAATGTAACTTCATTTGGAAATGAAAAGGCTAATGTAAACTCCTTACTTCCTTCCTGGGCAAGGTCGCCCAGGTGGACTGGCTCCCTACTCCTTTGAGCCACAGGCACCGCCCTATACATAATTTTTTAAATGTATTATAGTTGTAAATTGTACTTATGTTGAAATTAAAAATATATATATTACAATACTATTTTTGCGTTCTATAAAAATTTTTGTTGCTCCATATAGACGAAATTTTTAATTAAGAACCCACCCCCAGCCTGGTCAATGTGGCCCACTTTACCAATGTTAAAATATGGTCACCTTACTCTAGCAGAGTGCAGTGGCATCATCATAGCTCACTGTAGCCTCAGATTCCTGGGCTGCAGAAGCCTCACCTCCCACATAGGTAGAACTAAAGGTGCATGCCACAAAGCATGGCTGTTTTTTTTTTTTTTTACTTTTTTGGAGAGACTAATTCTCATTCTTGCTCACACTCAAGCAATGCTCCAGCCTCAGCCTCCCAGAGTGCTAGGATTACAGGCATGAGCCACTGCCAGGCCCTCCCTAAGGGTTTTTTATTATTATCTGCTAGTTTTTTCTTTTCTGTCCCAACAGCAGAGTTAAGTATTGTTTAACAGTGTTAAGTAGTGTACCCCAGGAGGAGGAAAAATACCAGATTAACATTGCTTAACAAATGCTAACAATGTCACCCTGGGATAATAGTTGTTTTTGCATCAGGGAAGAAGAAAAAAATATTTAAAGAAATAATGGCCAAAACTCCCCAAATATATTTTTAAAAACATTAAACATTAAACACTGAGGAAGCTCAATGAATTTGAAGTAAAATATGCACAAGAAGATTGATAGATACATCATAGTACAGGCACTAAAAGCCACATAAAAGCATAAAACCTTGAAAGACAGCAAGAGAAAAATGACTCATCACTTATGAGTTCTAATTAGATTAAAATGACTTCTCATCAGAAACAATGAGAAGAACAACTGAATTCTCATTAGAAACAATGGAGGCTAGAAGGCAGTGGAATAACATATTTAAAGAGAAATGGAAACTGTCAACCATGAATCTTTTTTTTTTTTTTT